ATGTCCAGAGCCTCACATACCATTAGCCACCTCATAAATATTTCAGTGAATTATCTAAAACAGAAACATCACCCGGAAGTCGGGAATAATAGTCAAATTAATCGAATCTCTAAACCTACAGATTCTCACTTCAGTTTGTGGCTGGCAAAGCACAGAAGGAAACTATTTTTTTTTAATTTTGCCTTTTAATTTGTGTTTTCCAAAATGTTTTAGTATCAGCATTTCTCCTGAGTCTCTTCTACCCTAGGGAGTGAACAGGGGTGAAAAAAAAGTAAAGGGTTTAGCTTTCTTAATTTGTCTGGATTGTATGCTGATACAACTCTGCAGCAGTGTACCTCAGATGGACAGGGATATAGTAGGGAGATAAGGTTAGTATGGTAAGAAATCCATTAGTTTTACTTCAGCCATAAAATCTTAAACCAGACTCTCTGGGTAGCTGGAAAGAATAACAAATGCAGGCAGTTCTACAGTGCTAGTACAAAATGGATCATTCCTTCCACGTTTCCTTCTGGCCTCTCCTCACTGGGTAGGCACCCATATGAAGAAATGTAGATGAAACGGCATGAATCACTTCACTCTAGGTCTACAGGAGTGTATCTACATCCATACACAATCAGCAAGTGTAAACATACAACTGGAAAATACTTTTTTTAAAAGCAGGATACATTTAGTATATCAGTTCTGAACAGTACTTTAAAAAATCACCTATGACAAGAAGCAGTTTTAGAGAACCCACTGACATCTCCCACCAGAGCAGATTCCAATTCCTGGATTCATCACTGACAGCCTACATAGGTGGGCTTTTGGCTCAGCATTTGAGAAAAAAAAATAATGAAAGAAAGAAAGATAGTCTGGATTTTCAGTGCTCTGCAAATAGCCAGGAATCGCTTCCAGCTTTGAATAAACACTAAACAACAATTCTGCCCAAGAGAACAGGGAACATCAATTAAAGACATCTGGTGAGTGACACATTTGTCCCAATGTAGAACATCCAAAAGAATCCCAAGACAGAGGGCAATTTCATCAAGAAAATAAAGAATCTAATTGAGCAGATGACATCTCAAATCTCTTCCAGTGGATTTAGGCTACTTGAATTGGGAGTTTTTGGTAAAAATCATAAAAGATACTTTAGAATTCAATATATAAGAGGACTGATTAATGAATCATTAAACATCTATCTGGTTCATTCATCATATAAGATCTATTTTAAAAAATCATGAGTTCAGAGGATAACTGGAGAGCTATTGTAAGGAACCGTTCCTTTACGTAAGAACTTTATTTTCACACAGCTGTGGAACCAAGTATAGAGAATCAAATTCCTGTTAGGTTCCTGATAGATCAACCTCTCATGTATGTTGACATTTTAAATCATTCTTTATTAATTTTTTATGAACATCATATAATGTATTGTGATCATACTCATCCAGCCTCCCCCAACTCCTCCCAGATCTATCTTTCCTCCATACTCATCCAACATTTTCTCCCTCTCCCTTTTGTCCCCCTCCCTCTCTCTCCCTCTTTCCCTCTGTTTACCTCCACCACCACCACTATCCCCTGCACCTCTATTGAGTCCAATTTGGTACATCCACTGGCAGAGTAAGGCATTTCAGAAAGCAATGTCCTTGTGATATTGGGATAGATGTTAAGAAAATGGTACATACAATGAGCAAAAGTAATAATCTCAAAGCAAAACAATGTTTTGGAGAAAAATGAAAATGAGCCTCTGGATCTGTGAAGAGTTGCTTGGAAACTCAAAACCACAACAAGGAGTTCTTGAATATAAAGTAGGAAAAAAAAGGATATTATGATCTTTCTAGTGTCAAACAGGTGAAATTATATGATTCTTCAGAGTTGATCATATTGGGTTTATATATCCTGGTGACACACTGAAATCATTTTTTAAGAATATCAAACTGACTTACTCAGAGGAGAGGGGAGGAGGGGATGGGGAAAGGGTTGTGGGGGAAGGGTTGTGGGAGGGGGAAGGGTTGTGGGAGGGGGAAGGGTTGTGGGATGGGGAGGAGTTGTGGGAGGGGGTGACTGGGAGGAGGACAGTATATGGCATGTAAGGTGAATGAGTAAAAAATAATTAATTAATTAATTTTAAAAAGAATGTCAAACTGTTATAGGCTAAATAAATGTTTGTGCCTTGCTTAAATTCCGATGTTACATCCCCAGTTCTCAGTGTAAAGATCTTCATCAGCAGTGGAGGTGAGAGGAGTTTGGGAAGGTGGACCTAGGAAGAAGGATCTCCAGGGAGCTTTCTGTCTGCTCTGTGAGGTCCAGTGAGGATGCAGCTAACTACAAGACATCAGAGAGCCAGGTTGTGATCCCTCACCATAACTGAATGGGGGGGGGGGTACCTGGCTCTAGGGAGCCTCAGCCTTTAAATTTTTGAAAAAAATAAATATGTAATTACGACACCAAGCTGGCATTTTATGATATAAGCCAGCCTGACATACTTATGAATGAGCATGAGACCTAAACTCAGAAGTGATGTTACACAGGAGTCTGTTTATCTACCCCTTTTATGCCTGTATCTTTTGCATTAAGTAGAGATTGTCTAAGTGTTACAATCTACATTGGGTACTCTTCTCAGAGAGGAACTCACTGATAGTGTGATTGTCTAAAACAGTCTTATCCCATTCTTCTCTTTTACGCCTTATGCAATGGTCAGTCTTCATCGTCAACTTTAGATTTGAATCATATAGGAGACAAGTATGTGTATATGTTGGTCAATGTGATAGCCAGAGAGCTCTACATGAAGAAAGGAAACCTTCCTTTATTGTGTATAACACTCCAGAGCCTGGGGCCCAGAACTGAATGAAAAGAGGAATGGGGGAGGAGCCAGATGAGTGCCAACATTCAGACTTCTGATTCCTGACCATAGACGCCTTGTGGCCCCTTGCCATATTCAACTAGAACCTCAAACTGTGAAACACCATACGTGCTTTCTTTCATTAGTTGCTTCTTTCCAGTTTGTCACTGAAGTGAAAAATAACTAATGTGTCTCCATTCACAGTGATAGACACAGGACTTATTCAGTAACATGTAACTGATATGCCTCCATGGACATTGACTGATACAGGCTCTTCGCACGCAGTAACATGTGGACAGTCACAGAAACAGTCTTGCCACTTAATGTTTTTTTTTTTTTAATTTCCAAATGTAATAATGCCAAAACAAAGAATTGACAGTTTTTAAATTATCTGATCGTTCTTTAATAAAACAGAAACAGCTACTTCTGATGGCACGGTGCAGGATTCTATCCTGACAAAGATTTAATGTGTAGGGGTGACATGCCCTCGGACCACGTTTGAAATCCTGAAGTGGCAAATTGTTACTAGTAAATCAGCCACCTCATTTCTCAGATAAGGAGTCATGCCCTGCTCAGAGTCGCTCAACTGTGTGGAGGAAACGCAAGAGTTCTCTCTGCACCAGTGGCTTTTGAGGAAGCAAGGAAGCAGAGGAAATGAGAACCCTGCTGCTCCTGCCACCTGAGTGTAAGCAGCTAAAGCTCTTGTGGTCTGGGAAGCTTCAGCCTTTCCCTAGCGAAAATGAGATCATATACAAAACAAAGGCAAATAGGGAAGCTTCTAGAATCATTGAGCACACCTGTTTCCTTAAAGTCACACTATGGAGAATCGCTTACCTTTAGAAGTGTTTTTCCCTCTAAAAATGGAGAAGAACTAAATGATAGGTTTTAATTATCCAAAATGCTCTCATCTTTGCCTTTATAATTTTTTTCAAATCATGTGCCCCCAATATCCAACAAAAGGAAATATCAAATTGATATGATACAAATCATATTTGACTTATAATAAGAAAACTCAGTACCAGACATGTTCTTAATTTGGTAATTTGTATGTGGGTCACCCCTATTATAATGAGCAACTATGTACACTGATAAAAAGAATTCCAGGCATAATGCTCTGGCCTTTTTATGTTATGTAAATTCCATATAACCAAAAACCAACGACTAAAACAAATGAATGTGAACACTCAACCAATTTGTTGACTGTATTTAGTTGGTTATTAAACTTGAGATTCAATCAAATGACTGGTTGCATGCCTCTCTCTCTCTCTCATGTTGTAAGGTATACCAACTTGCCCTTTTCACACACTCATCCCCATTCTGTAGGAAGAATGAAATGATGGCCCTGGGCTGTAGCGGTAGAATCTCAGGACAAAACACAAAGCATTTCCACACTAGAGAAATGTGTTTGCATTTGTGGTTTTCCTGATGCCTTCAAATGAGTGTTCCTACGTCACAAGCACATCTGTTTGGATGCGTCTTCCCCTTGGGTAAATGAACAAAGGGACATATTGTTAGAACTTGCCTGACGGAAATTAAATCTGCTTTCATCCTTGCCTGGTACAGCTTTCCTCCAACTGCACTGCTTATTTTGTATTGTTTATTCCCTCATAAAATGATAGAAAACTCAAATTTGTCATGAGCCTGGTACCTCACAGGCACCATGTCATTGGAACAAACGCTTAAATTTCTTCAGAGCACTGAGAAGAGCAACTTAAAGACATTAGAAATGAAGACTAAAACTGTCAGAGACTTATGCCAGATTGAGGACCTAATGAAGCGATTGGAGTTTCAGAATGCGTTTGGCTGATAAATACCTTTAGCATGCTTTCAATATATACCTTTGGATCGATCTAGACAGATTGATAGTCAAGAGACAAATTTCCCCTATTTTAACTTTATATGTTTTATATACTCAAATATCACGGTGTTCAGCATCACGCAATGAAGCTTAAATGAATGAGTGGGAAGACATCTAAATCTCAAAGGAGACCCATCAAATGTCAACTAGGCCACACAGATGAATGAGTCTTCATTTATTCGCAATCTACATATGGTTAGAGTACTGACAGTTAACCAAAGTTTCCCCCAAACCTAACTGCAACACCACGGCATTAAATTCAAGAAAACAAGGAAGGTTGTAAATGCATGTTTTACAAAATAAGTGAAGATGAAAGGTACTTACAGTTTTGCTCCGAGAAAGTGCATCACTAGTGTTCCTCTCCATGGTGAGGTTTTCAGTAGTTTGGATTCCACTAGCTGCTTCGCCCATCATTGCTCTCTCTGCAACTGTTATCCACTCAGAGGCGACCGAAATGCTGGAGAAAAAAGCAAGGAAATGTTTAATCAAGTATATGATTAACATGTGCACTTCGAAATGCTGCCATGGACCGGGACAGTGATTCTTAAATAATTCATCAGAACAGGCAGAGATGTTGATGTGTTTAAAGCAATAAAAGTGGACAGGAGGAACGTTTCCAAAACAGCTTTGGTTAAATGCAAGTTACAGATCCCAGCACCATCTGTTTTCTGTTAAATATCTAAGCTTACTTTTTTTGGCGGTTGAAATAAATAGGTGCAGTAGACACAGCCTAGAGATCCTCATACGAATGAAGAGGGAGCTGAACTTGCTGATTCTTGCTGGGAAACTAGGGACTCCCCAATGTTCCACTAAGGGACCAGCCAAATCACCTTTCCCACCAGTGGGAAAACACTAAGGATGGCCATGAGCATGACATCACAGCTTCCTCTTCTTCTATTACCAGTAAATCGACATAAAAGTCAATGGTGTTATCCCAGTGGCTGTGCAGCAGTACTCCAGACCTTTGGCTCAAAGAGGTTGAAAAGCATGCTTGAGAGAGGGCGAGGACCGCTTACCTAGTTAAACAATAACTGTTATTCCAGAGACTCTTCCAGAGTAGCTGTCACTTTCATAGCACCAATGGCCTTGTTTCCTAACCTCCACTTTCCTAGACACTGGAAAGGAGACTATTAAGAGGGAAGGACAAATTAATTAAGTAAATTTCTGCTACTCATTTACTTCTAGACATGGCTTCACTACTCATTGGAAAGAGTTGAATGTGAGATGATCCACTTTTGGGGGGACTTACCCTAGAGGAAAGAGGATGAGATCAATAAGCTTGGCCAAAATATTGACTAATAGTGTAGGCTGACATAGTGTACCTACCATAGTGTACCATAATAGTGTAGGTGTGGAGAGCTGGAGGTGACAGTGTGTTTGCTCCATCATTTGGATGTAGTCTAAATTCTTTAAGGAAAATAAGGTACCTGTCTGACATTTAGGAAAAAGAGGAGCAACAGTCAAGGGCTGAAAGAATTGGGTTCACAAAACAATTTTGAACATACAAAGGTACAAACTGTTACGAATTATACATGGCAACATCACAGGAAGACCAACCGTGAACCTCTGGGAACTCCCAGAGACTGAGCCACCAACCAAAGAGCATACATGGGCTGGTGCGAGGCCTCCAACACACATGTAGCAGAGGACTGCCTTGTCTGGATTCAGTGGGAGAGGATGTGCCTAATCCTACAGAGACTTGATGCATCAGGGAGGGGGGATAGTGGGGAGGGGGCTGCACTCTTAGAGGTAAAGGGGAGAGGGGATGGGGGAAATTCCTAGAGGGGGGACAGCGTGGCAGCATTTGGGATGTAAATTACTTGATTTAAAAAAAATTAAGTAATCTAAAACAGTTATTTGCTTCAAAAACGAAACAAAAAATCCAAACAAGAGTTCAAAGCATGAGAGACTATAGAGAACGTAACATGGCTGCAGACCTCAACATAGAGAAAGGCAGGCATCAGAGGAGCCCAGGGCCCAGTAACACCATTGAATGGGGACCTTCACTACGCTTGCTCTCTAGCAGCCCACAGTGGCACTCTCTCAAGGCTGAAGAAACTTGTTTCAATCGCATATGAGCCACTCTCTTTAGGCCTTTAAAAAATCAAAGTGATATATTTTTAGGGAGGCCAAGGCCCCTCTGACAGCAATGTGCAAGTAGAAAGAGAGAATGGATAATATTATTGCTAAGAATACCCCTAGATATGGAGACCCAGCACTACCAAAGGAGGGAAAAAAGGACTTTATAGCTTGAAGAAAATGTCTGCCTAAAGGTAAGAGAAAAACAAATTATCCATCGTGAGTTTCTAGGGGGAAAATAATTATGTCTTTGAGGCTTTATGGGCTTTGGTAGTCACTGTTTTGAAGAGAGGAGGTTTTGAATAAAGGGACTCGCCAACACAGGAAAAATACTTAGTTCATAAGCCTCCAGGAACTGAGTCACCTTCATGATTAGATATGATGCTCGGCATCTTATATGGGCTCCAAAAATGTGGAAATATATTATTCATTTCATTGGAGAAATGGATAGAGATCGTTTTAACTATGATCTAAATGCCCATGCCTAGAGAGAGAAAAGCAATAGCTAGATAGCTGCTGTGGGAAGCTAATGCTCTGCCAAGGAGAAACTCATTGAAAATATTTAATTATTCATCTGCTATGTAATGAGTACCCTCAGGGTACCATGAAGAAGTGCTCATAGTGAGCTAGTTAATCAATGATTTCAAACCAACAAATCAGTAAAGTCAGACAAACAGTGGATTTGACCTGGAAAGGCTTGCTGAATTAATCAAGTATTTTAAGACATTTGACTTAAAAGCCTTTAATCCCATCGTGATGAGATTCTTCCCCACAGGAATTCAAAGCTTAAAGGAATATGAGTAAACAGATGGACATAACTGAAAGACCAGATTCTCCAACTACATAGCTAGGTGACAGCCTGGCCTCCATAAAAAAGTGTGGACCTGTGAGCCAAAGAGGTGTATCTCTGTGTAAGTCTAGGCAATCTGACATGTCTTAGTAAAGAGACACTAATGAATACCTGGTCTTTGAGTGTCGATGAAGAGATGTGCTTAGAGTAATATCTAGCAAACCACTTGGCCTGTAAGATGGGGCACACTTCTGTCTTCATCATCTGCATCTTTCTCTGAGTACCAAATGCCAAGTAATAATGATACAACCGATTCCTATTTATTGTCTGCAGTGCCTAAACCCCCACAAATAAAACACACCTAGGCAAATTTCAACTCAGTATTAGTGAATCATTTATCCGGATCTCAGGAGTTGATACATGACTATCAGGATCATTTTAAGAGTTTAGTAAAGGCTGTAAGGAAGATGGGGGCTGGGTAGAAGAACCAACAATGACAGTGCAGTCCTGGGAGCAGGCAGTGTTATCTAGAAGGAGCAAGCGGAGAAGGATCTCGGCATCCAGCCATGAAAAGCTGGCTTCCTTCACAAGGCAGGTTACTTTCTGGCACAGCCCAGAGGAAAGAGGTGAAGAGAAGCACATGACCTCATACCACGCCCCTCTGATCACCTGCCAGGACTCTCTACTAGGCAAATGCAACCGAGCAAGAGAACAAAGGAAGATGCAGACACACTTTTCATCGGTCAGCCTTCAGGGACAGAAACCTCTGAAAGCCAGCCAGACAGGGACGAGAGAAGAGCTGCAGGCAAAATAGAAGACATGCCACACAACTATGCTATGCATTCTAGCAAGAGGATTATATTTTTCTGCTGCCTCATTTGTTCCAGGAAAAATACTTACTATTTATCTCAATAATGCCAAAAAAGTAGATATTGCTAATGTATTGTACTACTCAAAAATAAGGGTATCTGCTTCAGAGAGAACTCATTGTCCAGACTCAAACTTGAAAACTCTGTGGCCATAGTTTGTAATTTTTACATCCCCATATCACTCTGGTGTTGCTATAATGGATTAATGCCATTTAACTATCAACAGAGAGTAATCAGCAAAAATTTCAGATTTGTGCCCAAACCAAAGAATATTTGAGAAGGGAAAAAATTTGACTCTCAGGGAGGCAGTTATCTGAGTCCCTACAAATTTCTCCCTTAGCAAAGATAAGGCAAGACAATACAATGCATTTCTCCCTCCAGGCAAGATACACAAATGGAAAACAGGAAGCAACACTAGCACTTATGTTGTCATTATGACAGAAGTTTCCATATAAAAGTCAGTCAGGAAGAAGGAAGAGGCCACTCCTCAGGGAACATAGTTCAGAAATACAAGTAAAGAGAAGCAGATTTCAAAAGCTAGGATGGAGCCCTGAAAGCAGGAGCCTGAACCACCTGGATAGACTGTGGCTTCAGAACAAGGATCAAGACAAGTCCTGTCCTGGGGATTAACCTCTAAAGCGCTCATCAGAAAAATAAATTTTTATCTTTACCATTACATTGACATATGAAGCTGTGAAATATTGGGGAAGGCACCGTCTCTTTTACCCTTGATTTGATGTGTGCTTCCTTATAAACTAGAGAAACCCACCCAAAGGGTGGTTGTAGGGATTAATTAGCTAATATCAGAATGTTTCTGAAGCGTTTCCTCCAAACGTAATCCTGCCCATTTAAACAGAAAGTGTCAATGTCTAATGACAGTCAAACCTAAGAGTTAAATAAGGTTCCAGTTGCCCTCAAATATCAGGAAAGCTATTGGGTTATATGTTAGGCACTTAAGATGAATTTCCACTTCTTTTCCTTTTGTGGAACCAGAAATTGTTTTCCCTTCCTAGAGTAATATAATGACTGTTGAATCATAAAACCACTCCCAAATATTAAAATAAAACACCAATGAGTTCTGACATCTCATTGAAATAAAACTGTCATATAACACCAAGCCTTCTTCATTTAGGGCAGTGGTTCTCAACCTGTGAGTCACAACTCCTTTGAGGGGTTGAAGGACGCTTTCACAGGGGTCATCTAAGAGCACTGGAGAGCACAGGTATTTACATTACAATTCATAACCGTAGCAAAATTATAGTTATAAAGTATCAACAAAAATAATTTTATGGTTGGAGGGGTCTCTACAACATGAGGAACATTATTAAAGGATCACAGCATTACGAAGGTTGAGAACCACTGTTTTAGGGAGAGAAAGAAGTGTCCTAATGTATTGCCTGCGGATAATTAAGAAGTTCTCAATTAAATCTGTCTCTAATTTAGAGTCTTTTTTCCCATTAGGTGGTAGATGTTTCTAGTTGTACATCAAGCGGGAATTAAATTGGTCTGTCTTCCCTAGCATTCTCTTAAAGAGCTGGGAGAAGCAAGGATGTGACCAACCCCAGGGTGTTACACACACGCTCAGCAGCTACCTCTCGTCTAGCAGTAGCCTAGTCTTCTTGAATAGATTCTACCGTAAAAGA